CTGTTGAAGAATGTGTTCAGCTCATTTGCTCTGTCCAGACTTCCATCCATCCGATTCTCCTTTTGCACTTGACTATCTTTACAAAACTCTGCATTCGGCTCTGGGAGCGAGTCTGTTTTTTTTTTTTTCTTTTTTTTTACCGAGTGTTTGAAGTAAATGCAGCGCATAGTGCTTTCAGCACAAACACACTTGAGTTTTTCTTGGTTCGACTATCTTTATAAAACTCTGCTTCAACAGTCTGCTCTAGTCAGAAGCGAGTTTTTTTTTTCTCTTGAGTGTCAGAGCGCTTTCCGTTTCAGCACAAACACGCCCACAAACTTCAGACCAATCACACATTACCGTCGACACGGGAGGTGGGGTCAAAAGTTCTGCCGGCGGGTTGTGCCAAAAGGGGCTGTCGATCTGACGCTGAGAAGCCTGATGATGTAATTTTCATCATTAGACTGCGACAAACTGTGCCGACGTCGGCAGTTCAGAGAGAGTATGTTTCCAGCTTAAGGGAGAGCCTAGACACCCTGCGGAGGAAACTGATTTTGGCTGCTTGTATCCACGGTCTCGTTCTTTCTGTCACTACCCGAAGCTCATGACCATAGATGAGGGTAGGAACGTAGACCGACCGKTAAATCAAGAGCTTCACCTTCTGGTTCAGCTCTCGCTTCACCACGACAGACCGGTACAACACCCGCATCACTGCAGACGTAGCACCAATCCACCTGACAATCTCCYGCTCCATTCTTCCCTCATTCATGAACAAGACCCCGAGATACTTAAACTCCTCCACTTGGGGCCCCACCAGCCCCACATTTTAGTGGAAAGACCCTAAAAGTTGAGTTAGTGTTGTCAAAAAGAAAAAATAAGTAGGTCCTCTGGATGGGTTCTTCTTTAGTGAAACGTTTCATCTCTCTTCCAAGAGACTTCTTCAGTCTGATAAGTTTCAGGTGAACTCAGCCTTATAAGCCCTGTCTCCACCTGGACAACCAGGTCAGTCACATGCAAACGAGGACCATCGACTAACAATAGGCATGATTGGCTCTATTGTTCATAGAGGGTCATGTGCCCCAGCACCTGACCCGTGTCGTGTTATGTGAATGTAGTGAATGCAAGCAGGGGTTCAACGTGTTTTTGTCCCTGTCTCCCTCTTTGTGTTGGTATCATTGGGGCCCTGATTCACACCTTTTGCTCACAGGGGGCTAAGTCATACTTGCAATAACAGCATTGTAGGCGGAAGACAACTGGACACGGAGGCCTCCAACTCGGTTTAATGGTGGACTTTTTTTTTTCACAAAGATGGCTTCTTTTACTCCTCTCAAATCAACGTTCCTCTCTATCAAGGATGAGAACATCTTCATCCCTGAAAGAGTGACCGCTGGCCTGTAGATGAGTGTAAACTGCAGAGTCCTGACCTGACGACATAGCTCGTCTGTGCTGGCTCATTGTTTTGAACAGTGGCTGTTTTGTTTCTCCGATGTATACCTGATCACAGTCCTCCTGACACAACAGTGTATACTATATTACTCTGTTTTTGCCGGGGAACTGGATCTTTGGGGTGAACTAATCTTTGTCGAAACATGTTTTGGGGTTTGAAAGCCACTGGGACATCATGTTTAGAGAATAAATGTCTCAGTTTCTCTGAAACTCCCACGACATATGGAATGACGACTGGTTTGGGTCTGGGTTTAGGGTCTTCATTTTCAGCTGGTTTTTGGCTGGAATCCTGTTTGGATTTCTTGTCTGCTTTCAGAAAAGCCCAGTCAGGATAACCGCACTGCTCCAGGGCCTGTCTTGTGTGTGACTTCTCTTTCTCCCTGGCTCCTGTGTTTGTGGGGACACTGTCTGCTCTGTGGTACAGAGTTCTGATGGCTCCTAACTTGTGTTCCAGTGACTGATGGGAATCAAAACTCAAACGAGTTAGTGTTGTGTTTTGAGTTGTTAGTGCTAAAGCCAGGACTTGCAGTGTTGGAAATGAAAAGAGCCTGTGCTAAGTAAGCTCTGGTTCCAGTATAGACTTGGAACCTGTTTGGTAAAAAATAAAATAAAATGTGACTTGAGTAGTCAAACAAGAGATGTATGTGTAAAAAAAAAACTAACGTTTCTTCTTAATGTACTGTTTGTGTCTTTCAGTGATGCCTACTCAGAAGTTGGTGCTGATCAAGGAAGAGGCTCCTGAAGAACAGATTCCTTATGTGGACCAGGAGGACCAAGAAAATCTCCATATAAAAGAGGAAGAGGAGGAACTGCGGACCAGTTTGGGGGAAGAGCAGCTCAAAATGAAGGAAGAGACTGATGCTTCCAGCTTTTCGTTTACTGCAGTTCCTTTGAAGCATGAGGATGATGAAGATAAACCTCTGTTCTTGCAGCTTCATCAACTCCAAGTTGAAGTCATAGATTTTCCAACCAGCAGCTCAGCTGACAACCTGGAGTCAGCAACTAGTGGAAACTCCTATGAAGGAACAGAAACTAAAAGAAACTCAGATCTAAGTACACATGAAGGTGTCTCTGTGTGTTCAGAAACGGAAGTCAGTGAGGATGATGAAGATGTTAATGATGTGAACAGTACAGACTCTCAGCTGAAACACTTAGGAGACTCTGTGTCAAAAATTGAAGACACTAAAATTAAGTCTTCTCCCAGCAGGGTTCCTGACCCTTTTGTAAAAATCAACAAAAATGGACAGAAGCTGTTCTCTTGTACACTTTGTGGAAGAAGGTTTACCAGAAAGGGAGGTTTAAACAGACACATGAGATTCCACACAGGACAGAAGCCATTTTGTTGTGGGCTGTGTGGGCGAAGATTTACCCTAAAGGGAGATTTAAACACACACATGAGAATCCACACAGGACAGAAGCCATTTTGTTGTGCTCTGTGTGGTCAAAGGTTTACAGTAAAGTCTAATTTAAACAAACATATGAGAATCCACATGAAACAGAAGCCATTTTGTTGTGATCTGTGTGATCAAAGGTTTATTGTAAAGAGTAATTTAAAAACACACATGAAAATCCACGCAGGACAGAAACACTTTTTTTGTGAGGTGTGTGATCAAGGGTTTACCAGAAAGAACAATTTAAAAAAACACATGATAATCCACACAGGACATAAACCATTTTGTTGTGTGGTGTGTGATCGAAAGTTTACCCAAAATAGCAGTTTGAGCAGACACATGACAACCCACACAGGACAGAAGCCATTTTGTTGTGATCTGTGTGATCAAAGGTTTATTGTAAAGAGCAGTTTAAACACACACATGAAAATCCACACAGGACAGAAACCATTTTTTTGTGAGGTGTGTGATCGAAAATTTACACAAAAAGGCAGTTTGAACAGACACAGCAAAATCCACACAGGACAGAAGCCATTTTGCTGTCATCAATGTGACCAAAGGTTTAGCATAAAGACAGATTTAAACAAACACATGAGAATCCACACACAAAACAAAGTAGTAATTTGCCATGACTCCTAGGTGAAATACAAAGAATGGAAAATCATTTTTATAAACCCCAAATGGACTGTATACATACATAGTGCCTTTCCAACCAGGAAATTCAAACACTAAAATCTGTGCCCCCACTACCCATTCACATATATTTATTCAGCCGTATTTATCAAACTTTTCAGAAAAACTCTTTAATTAGTAAGAAAGTATTGAAATGTGAAAAAAAATCATCAAAAACTCATCAAACAACATGTTCTGAAAGTGTAGGGATACATTTTAAGTCTAAGAGCTGATTTATAACATTTAGCTGATCCTGGATGACGTCATTAAAAAAACAGCATGCAACAATCTCCGAATCCAGGGCTGAAATCCAGGGCTGATAGTGAAAATTTTCTACCCATCCCCACCCTTATACACAAAAATACACTCACCCACATATCCTGTTTCTCTATCCTTGTGGGGAATTGCCATTGACTTCCATTCATTTTTTGGTAATTTTATATCCTAACCCTGACCATTTACCCTAAAATTAACCTCACAGGTACCTACCTGACCCTAAAACTAACCTAAACTCAATTCAGACCTTGGTCCTAAACCCAACCCCCCACCACCACCCAAAATCAGCCTCCGAAGTTGTGGGGATCGGGCTTTGGTCCCCACAAGGAACATCTGGTCACATAGGCACTCAAAACATGGGTCCTCACACACATACACACACTCACAATCAATCTAATTTATTTCTACATATATGTTGATAATAGCATATTACTACAAAAAATATATATTTTAAAAGGCAGATATCTCTATCAAGCACATTACGAAAAATACCGTTTCAATTAATTTTGTACTGAGCAGAGTATTATCTGTGATATATTATTTAAATATTATCCTTTTGAATTTAACAATACAATTGCAAAAATCATTCTTCCAGTATCAACTTTTATCACCAAGCATCAGCGTCCACATTATGAAGGTTTTCATGTTTAAAATAGGCAATTTATGATCTTTGTTGAAGCTAAAAAATATTTGAACATTAAAAACATCATGACTGATATTTATACTGACAAACTGGGAAAACAAAATAAACAGAATCTATGTGAAAACTGTAATTTACATTTAATATTTCATTATTAAATGCGTCACACAAAAGTCTGCTTTCAAATATAAACAGTTTTGCTCATTAAAATCCCCAAATGGCCTGTTTTAAAGTGGTAGAATAATACAGTATATTATTAAGCTGATATTTATGGTGAACTAAAAAGTGATTCCTTCAGAGAGAGAACACTGAGGGCTTTGGAGGGGAAAAAATCCAAACCTAAAGAGAGACACACACCTTTGCTACACTTTTGTTAAAATAAATATACCTGTTTTAAGCCTCCTCTCCATTTGCACAACTCTATTTTCGGTTTGGATTTGTTCAGTTCTGCTCAGGTATGTGTGTGTGTCTCTATCTCAGTGTGTCCTTCATTCTGTGGGCATGATTATGGGTGGACTGTCCAAACAGATTCAGCTGTTGTGTTTAAAACAATGTTAAAGTTTTACTGTTCTGATTTTTTTTTTGCGGTGTGTTTGTGTAATCGTGGGCTGCAAGTTTGTTCGAAACCTCTGGATATCTGCTCTATCGACTCCCTCACCTCTCTTTGGGAAGTGTTTGCAAGTTCTGCCTTTCCCAAGATAGCCAAAAAGGTTAGAATACAGTTTATTTATTCCAAAACAAAAGTGGTTCTCTCCAGGAAGAAGTTTCTACAAGTAATGCCTTTCCTCTGTCAGTCAATCCCAGAACTAATCCATGGGCAGCATTCTGCTGACGTCAAAATTGTAAGCGTGCTTTACTCACTTCTACCTGCATATCTCTCCTGAATGTGCTGGTTAGAACGTAATTGGAGACACATTTGGTCGAGGCCAAACCGAGCAGAACTGCATGCAGGCGTGCCGGTGGAGATGGGGCTTAAGTGTTAATATTTTTAAATTCCAAAACCTAAAGCAACATAAACAGCCAATTACAGGTCCTTCTCAAAAAATTAGCATATTGTGATAAAGTTTATTATTTTCTGTAATGTATTGATAAACATTACATTTTCATATATTTTAGATTCATTGCACACCATCTGAAGTAGTTCAAGCCTTTTATTGTTTTAATATTGATGATTTTGGCAAAAAAGTAAAGAAAAACCAAAAATCCCAATCTCAAAAAATTAGCATATTTCATCTGACCAATAAAAGAAAAGTGTTTTAATACAAAAAAAGTCAACCTTCAAATAATTATGTTCAGTTATGCACTCAATACTTAGTGGGGAATCATTTTGCAGAAATAACTGCTTCAATGTGGCGTGGCATGGAGGTAATCAGCCTGTGGCACTGCTGAGGTGTTATGGAGGCCCAGGATGCTTCGA